ATTCTGGCCCAGGGACAAGCATCAAATTATGACAAGGTGAATAGTGACTTAAGTGCTTCCTTTGTGATAGGAGGAGGCTGTGCCAACAAGCTGCCAGCTCAGAGATGTGTTTTAATCACCTGGGCACCTTCAGGCAGGTGGATTTGAGTGGGATGTTGGTACTGCCTGGATCCTCATTTCTTTGTACGTCAGCACTGCTGTATCATCCACCTGTAGCAGGAATGTGTGAATAACCCTTCAGCAGAGCCTCATTTGCATCTGTGACTGCCACGATGGGAATGTGGTGCCTTTCCAGCTTTTCTTCACACACTTAGGTGCCAACAGCCTTTGTGCAAAGCACAAATCAAAGCTTCACGGGAATGTCGCTGCGGCCTCTCAGCTTCTGTTGCTCCAGAAAAACAGAGGCAATAATTTTCAGATGAAGAAAACGTTCCTGCAAAATGTCTCCTTGTGATAGAGCTGGGCAGCTTTCAGCCTGGGAGATGGGAGTTGGAACAACAGGAACGGGCTCGGCTGTAGAGCAGGGAGGGAGAAGGGTTGTTGGAGATGCTCGTTGTGATACACGAGAAGAAAGTACTCCTTGTTTGTCCATGAAATCTCAGTGCTTTATTGGAGATATTCACTGCATAATTTAGATCTTCCCTCTCCAGCATTCCAGGGCAGAGGCAGGAATCTTCCAACCCCATTAAGGTTTCGTGTTACTATTTTGATCCCTGTGATTCGGTTTGCAGTACAGAATCACCAGCCTTGCAGGGAGTGCTTGGCATGTTCATTCATGTTCTCCACTGCCTACCTACCTACCTACCCTGGCCAGCTTTTAGAGCTCTCCCTGAAACAAAACAGCCCTATGAAATATTGGGGGGTAGTATCTAGACCAGCCCTGGGTTGCAGAATTGTTTGGGGAAGAGAAAAGCAGCAAATGCAAACCTCAGTTTTAATCACTTCAAGGGTCAATTCATGTCTAAGTGTGTCCAGAAATGGCTTTATTGGAAACACCATTGCCTGCAGTGATCTGGTTCCTGCTGCCTGGCCCTTGAAGGTGACTCTTTTTGCAAACATTTGCTGCTGACTGAGTTTGCTTTGATGCTTTTGTGGCCACTGCTGGGCAGGGGGTGAGATCTGGGCACTGACCCCAGCACGGGCAGCAGCCACCCCAAAACCTCACTAATGCAGCATCCATGTGCTCTGTGCAGGCTGCTGCCTTGTTCCTTTGGGTGGCATTTCCAGGTTTTGGGAATGTGGCACCGCAAGAGGCGGCAGAGCGCCTGGCAAGGGTGTGGAACAGCTTTGGAGCTGATCCTGGCAAACTGGAAATGCTTCCCCTGTGCCCAGGGGTGCCAGGGAAGAGCTCCAGTCCGGGACAGCCACATGTTTAATGGATCCTGGGAGGCTTTCCTGTGGATTTGTGCAGTTACTTCTCAGCCTGAGCTGTGCTTTGACATTCCCAGCATCCTGCTATAAGAGGGGGACAGGACCCAAACTCCACACTGTGTTCAGGCTGTAGTGCATTTATACAACAGTGTAAAGGTTCAGCTTCATTCCCTGCTCTGTTCCCAGTTACTCCTGATGCTGGATCACCTTTCTGGAGCTGTGGTTCCCTTTAGGAATGGTCTGTCCTAACCTTGACACTCCTGGGAGGTGCTGCTCAGATCAGTTCCCTTCGCTGCTCAAACAAAGCTGGGATAACTTTCCCCCCACATGCATCACTTTACATTTATCCCCTTTGGTTTTATTCTGGCATTTTTTTTGCTCAATATCCAGGGCACTGTAAAGGCTCTGCTTTCCAGAGGATGCTCATCTTTACCTGAACAACTGGATATCATCAGCAAAATGTTCTGCTCCCCTTCTTTTATGCACCTCTTACTCTGAGGCAGGTCCTTCAATGCGTTGCTGTTGTGCCAAATTCCTCCTCCAGGTGCAGGATAGAAAGTTTCACTTCATTTCTTTTGCCGTGGCATTATCTTTTTTGCTCATTCCCCTAATGTGTGGGTCCCTCCTTGGCCCCATCAGGCTCCTGGGAATTTGCTTCTGCTGTGACTGGAAGAGGCTGGATTTGCCAGCGCAGGCATTTGCGAGTTGCTCCTTTGGCCTGCCTTGTTTGTTTGCACGTGTGACCTTCCACATCTCAGGAACATTTCCATTTTCCATGTTCCTATACAACCTCAGCCTCTCAGAGAATGACTTATTGATTTTAATAATGCCTTTTACCCTGCTGCTTTGGTATGTTGGCTTCCCCTCTGCAGCCCTTCCTCCCAGCTTCCAAAATCTGTTTGTTTTCCTAGTTTCCATGCCGCCTGCAGGAATTCTGCTCTCTTGACTTCCCACTTGGGTGTTTGTTGTATATGTTCTGTATAGGAAACATTCCTCTATATTGCACAGAGATACTCCAGAAACACCCAGAGTGCAGGGAGAAAATGTGACCCTCCTGAGGAGGTGGTCACAGGTTCAGATGTTTCTGGAGTGGCACCGGCAGGATTTAGCCCTCGAGGTGTCTGTAACATTCATGACTCTGGTTTCAGAGTTCAACAGCATAAATATGTTGGGTTTTGTCAGCCCAGCTGGCAGGCTGCTCACTTTCAGAGCTTTTTCTGTGTGCTTGTTCAGGTGAGGATGGAGCACTGGGAGCTTTTGTAGACCTGCAGAAGGGGTATCTTAGGGCCTGGGGGGAGAGAAAAAATGAATGTTTCATTAAAGCAGTGCAATGAAGTGAACCAGAGTGTGTGTTTGCTGCTGAGAGCAGCACCTCTGAGTGTTTATCCTCTTTGAATAGATATGTGCTGTGTGGTTATACAGAAATATTATTAAAATCAAAAAATATTAATTGCCCAGATGCATTTCTGGGAGGGGGAAGAGATGCAGAGCGCCGATGTTCCTTCTGGGACTGTTGGGATTCTGGATCAGAAAGTGAAATAACTTCTCAGCTGAGAGCAGAAACAGCACATGATTGACAGATTGGCTGTTGGCAAGGAAAACCTGGAGCTCACCTAGTGCCAGTATTTACAGCACTTTCATCCCCAGCACTTTTAAGCTCACCCAGTTCCAGTATTTTGGCCACCCAGCCCTTCATCCAGTACCAAGGTGTTGGCTGAGATACCAGAGAATAAATCATGTGACACAACATTTTTCAGCTTTTTCTGCTGAGCAAATAGACACAACAAATGCGAGGCTTTAGAAAGAGTTAACTCTGAGATCGCTTATTTAAAAAGAAATGACTTGTTCAACGCACATAATCGATACCAATATAAAACGGGTCTGTATTTTTTCCCATGCAAGAATGACAAAAGCTGCTGTACCGTCCTCCAAATCTGCTTTGGCAACTGTAAACCACCCTCGTTTTATTAAACAGCTCTCTTTCCTCCTAACATATACAGAACTGTTTGCTGTGTAAACATCTTAACTGCACATCTGCTTTTCCCCAGATATAAAGCGCAGTTAACTTTTTGCCCCGCTCACTGAGGCCGCTCACTTTTTTCTGCTGGCCAGATGAAATAAAAATTGGGTTTTGCAGCAGATGCAGCCCAGCTCAGTTTGGAATCCTGCAGGTGTTCCCCCAGCTGGGAAGTGTGGAAACGTGCCATTTCGCTGAGATGATGGGGAGGTTTAGATATGTGAGGGCGTTAAAAATAATTCTCCCTGTTAACAGTGGGCTTTGTCCCTGGTGGGCTCCATGTGCTCCACAGCTGACTGGGGCAGCAGCTGTTCTATATTTTAATGGGAGAGAGTTATAAAGTTAGAAACATGGATGAGCATTCAAAACACAAGCAACTCTTCGCAGCCATGGAAACGGGATTCAACAATAAACTCGCATTTTGTGAGCCTTCCAAACAAAATAATCCCACTGCACTGCCTTCAGGTGGTCTCAGGGAAGTGAATGAACTTGCATTTTGATTTCCTTAAGTTCTGTTTTCTCAAGGTCCTGTTGTTTTTACTCTTTTCTGCCTGTTTTCTATTTCTAAGAAGACAGCAAACTTTGCGTGTGATCCTGATTTAGGTTCTTCTCCAACACTGACAGATTTATAGGAGAATCTTTCCTGGGGTGTGTTATTGGTAATGGTCATGCTGGTAGGATATAGAGAGGGCTGAGCAGACACTTTGCTCTCCTATAATTCCTCAGGATTTCAGTGTTCTCTATAATCCAAGTAGCTCTTGAAACTCTTGCTGCACGTTTTTGCTGCAGCTCCGTGTGTTTTGGGGGGAGCAGATGGAGCTCTGCTTGCCTGGAGGATTGGAGGGACCTGTGGCTTTCCCTCCTACCAACACACAGGGTTTTTTTGGTGTAAAATGGTGAAAATGATGTAAATATTGGCAGGTCATGAAGGTAAAGTAAATCCTTGGGGCAGCCTGAGGACTCCAGGGCCGATTTGTGGTTGCTTGATTTGCTCCAGGTGCCCTGGAAGTCCTGGGATTGAAGGGGGAAAAGCCACTTGAGCCTCCTCTGGGCACCTGTCGAGAGAGAACTGCCCATTTTAAACCCAGAAGCAACAAAACCTTTTGTTTCTTGGAGAGGGCAATGGTGAATTCCACAATTTGGAAGTTAAAAGTGTGAGTAAAAGAGCAGTGTTCGTGCTGAGGGTGAGAGGAAAATGTTAGTTAACAAACGAAGTGTGGAGGTGAGGAATTGCATGGAGAGGGAGGAGGAGGAGCAGACATTGTGCTCAGTACATGTGTGGAATGAGGAGGTGCCTTTCCAACCAAGTGGATTTGTGGTGATGAATGGGGAGGAATCTCTGGGGGGAGAGGAGGGAGCTTCCCACAAGCCAAACTCTGGATCAGAGACTTTTCACTGTGGAAAACGCCAGTGAAATCCCTCCCTCTGCAGTGGAGTTTTGCTGTCAGTAAAACTAAAGCTCAGTGGGCATCAGGTTTGTCCTTCTGCAAAGGAATTACATCTTTAGTCTTACCAGAACTGCACAGACTCAGATCTGGATCATTCTGGCTTTGCAGTCAGTACCTGACAATAACAGTGGTAGTAACAAACCACCTCAAAATAGGCTCAGTACAATATGGTAAGAGATCTTTATTTAAAAATTTTGTACATCAAAGGATTAACTGCTACATTTATTTTTTTTTTAAACAAGAAATAAGATTTTACATATTACAAAAGATGTTATTAGTTCTTGAAAATTAGAAATAAATTTTTATGAACACTGTACATGATACATCTGAGCTGTAAGAGCAGGAACAGGACCGAGTGCCTGGAAGTGATATAACTTAATAAGGAAATGCACTCCACTCTTAGTATACAACATAATACTTCTGGAAAAACAGTATGCTAAGTTCTGTCTGAAAATGCTGCATCCCAGTAACTACCAACAGTGTTCTCAGGAGTGTTCTCATGGACATTTGTGCCCTGCCCGGGGTTTTTTTCCGTTTGGAGTTTCTTTCTTTGTTGGAGGAATTTTCTTCCTATGGTCTATTTTTCTTGGAGAGAGCAGGATGTTATTCCGTGGCATGGTTAACACAATCTGCATATAAAAACCTGATGCAAAGCTTTTCTCACAATGGAACTTCACCTCCAACCCAGATCAGAAAAACCCGCTGTGATAGCACATAAATGCCTACAGAAATAGATTTTTATTGCCTGTTACCTTTTGTTACAAAGTAGTTAAAAAGAAGAAATATATTTCAGCTTATGGGATAACCATTGCTTTGTGTATCATTCAGGCTACATAATTTTTTTTCTTTTTTGAGATTCGGTGTAGCTGCATTAGAATTTTAAAATAAAAAAAACAACACAGAAGATCACTTTTAAATGGCATGACCTATTTGGCTGGGGAGGGGGCGTGAGGTTGCACAGGATACTATGAACATACAGTTCTCGTACAAAAGCGTAGTATGGATCTAGTCCAAGGAAGGTAATAAAAAACAAGATTTAAATCTTTATACACAAAGTGACAATGCCCATGTTATACTATGGAACACATCTACAGGCATAATGCGTGAATAAAAGATACCGACTTACTAAACAAAATTTTTTTTTCCTTTTTTTTTAAAAAAAAAAAAGAGAGCAAAATCTATAAATAAAATAGTAAGTGCTTTCTCTCTGGTAATATCTTTGGCTGCCGTGGTGCCGGGGGGGGTGTGTGGGGTCCCCTAGAAGGCGTAGGGCCCCACGATGATGGTTAGCCGCAGCACCGAGCTCGTGCGGTAGTTCAGGCTGTTCACCGTCAGCATCTCCAGGTCCACGATGTGCTCGCGGGGCCCCGCCAGCGACTTCACCAGCACCAGCATGGCGCTCACCGCGCTCGTTTGCTGCGGGGACAACAGAGCTGGGCTCAGTCACTCATCCCCTTGGCCTCACCTGTGCTCACAAACACAGGGCAGGGCTGCTTTAGGGTGGCCCTGACTCATCCCACACCCGGCCTGGCTGCAGGGAAAAGCTTCGCCTGACCCAGAGGGGGAAACCGCGCTGCCAAACCTGCTCCTGGCTGTGCTGACTCTCCCAGGACAGTCTTGGTTTTTATCCCCATCTATCAGCTTTTAACATGGAGAGAATCAGTAAAAGAAGAGGCTTAATGTCTTTAAGGGTGGTGTGGCTGAGGGAAACTCTCATCTCGTGTCTCATCTCATACTCTCCTCGTAAACACTGGGAGTCTTTGCCTATTGTACCTCTTGCCATCCCTGCCCTGCACTGCTCCAAACTCGCTTCCCAGGCTGGCATGGTGCTCCTGGGGAAGGCCTTGGCCATGGCATGCTGCTGCTTTGGTAACTGGCATTGTCATTCCCAGGTGATGACAAGAGGGAAAACTCCCTCTCTCCTTTTGCCTGCTGCAAATATTTTCTCACCGTATCACAGGAGTGGGGTGTGCAGGTGAACCCAGTGCATCTGCTGTATCCAGGACCCAGCTCAGAGTTTGACTAAACCAGTGGGAATAATTTCCCAGTAAGCCTTTGTTTACCACGGTCCCCTGGCAGGAATAAACATGTGCTTCCTTATTTAAGGCCTGTGCTTCCTTATTTAAGGCCTGTGATTTCTTTTCGGGTGCAACAAGAGGAGATTGGAATTGTTACTCCAGGAGTCAGCCTGAAGGTTAGACTGGGGTCTAACCCAAGTGAGACCTGGAATGATCTTGTTCTTATTTTAAGCAAAGATCTGTTTGCATTTTGGGGGTGCTGATGGGGTTTTGGTGTGTATTAAATCCAGGGAAAAAGCACTGGATTATGGGTTATGTCAGAACAAGTGAGATATGGATGAGCAGTCCCTTGTTCCCACCTTGGGGAAACATGGTGCAAATGGCAATGCCATACCTTGCTACACCCGTTGGATCAAAACCCCCTAACCCCCAGATTTGAAGGAAAATAACTAAAAGTGACAACCTTCCAGTTAATATATTTCTGATAGAAGCTTTTGTGCTGATTCTGTCTTACTGAGTATAAAGCTACAGACGAAGGAAAAGGATTTCCCAGGAATTCATAAATATTACCAGGGTCCAAGAAAATCAGATTTCCTCCAAAAACCCTCAGAAAGCAGATGTTCTGGACACTTTGAGTCATATGTATCTACTTGAATGCATCCCACCAACAGGAAACAGTGTTGTTCCAAGTGGTTTTCTGAAATAGTTGCAGCACTAAATGAATATAATATAAAGCTGGGCTGAGCTGAGCTTGGGATGAGGCACTAATTTCTGGAATGCTGTTACTCTTTTTTTGTGCCAGAGGAGAAATGTAATTAAGGTGGTTGTACAGGGACTCTGTGTGTAATCCCCTCATAAATATTTATATCTGGGGTTGCAGGTGCAGCTCCAGCCATACTCACCCTCAGGTAGAACTCCCCGTTCTCGTTGCCGGACTTGATCCGGAAGGTGTTGATGGTATTGGGGTAGATGGTGGTGGCCTGGATCTGGAAGATGTCGGAGGGCACCGTCCTGTCGGAGCGGATGCTCATGTACTTGTACACCACGGAGTAGGGCAGCTCCCGGCAAATGGCGTTGGACACGGGGCACACGCAGCGGCTGCGGCACACACAGGGGGCACACAACACGTTAGCACGGCGCTCCCTGCTCCGGGGGAGCCTAAAGGGAAGGAATTCCCCTCTTACTTCTCGGATGTGAGCACGTAGGGCTCCTGGCAGGGGTTTCTCGGGTAGCAGCGGAACCCTCCGTGGTAGTTCCAGCAGATCTCGTCCTCTCGGCACTCGTTGGTTGTCTCGCACTCGTTGATGTCTAAGGAGACAGGAAAAGGGACTGTGTAGCAAACCCATTTCCATCGTTGATAAACACACTCTCTGTGCCTTCAGAACAGCCAAAACCCAGCCCAGCCATCAGAAACCCCTCATGTTTCAGTGTTCTTGTCCTGCTTTTCTGCCTATAAAGGATTTCTCCAGGCAGAAGTGGAATAAAGTGGAATGGGCTGCCCAGGGAAGTGGTGGATTCTCCGTCCCTGGAGGTTTTTAAAAAGAGACTGGATGTGGCATCAGTGCCATGGTCTAGTAACCGCAGCAGTGTTGGATCAGGGGTTGGACTTGATGATCTCGGAGGTCCCTTCCAACCCAGCTGATTCTATGATTCCATGAAACTTCTTTATTGAGTGTTAAGTAAGACTGGACATCTTAGTTGAGTGGAGATAGACATTAAAATCCCATGAAATCCAACTGTGGACCCACTGTAAAGTTTCTCATTAGCAAAGAATAACTTTACAGCAGGAGGTGTCCTGAAGACAGAGGGGAAAGGTCTCAAGGAAGAATTGATTTCCTGCCTTTTGTCGGTTCTCATTTCTAATAACCTGGGCTTCATGATCTCAAATGCTTAATTAATGGTGCATTTTAACTAAAATAGCTTTGAAAGGAGTAATGAAAACTTGTTTATTGTGCCAAGCAGAGCTTCCTTTTTTGCCTGGGAGAAGAAGCCTGGAGGGAGGTGGGGACTGTCAGCCCTGCACTGTATTAATGCTCCTTTTCCTGTCACTGCCAAAACCCCACTGTCTGCCTACACAGACTCCTGAATTTCAGAGGCACAGAAAGGATTTATTCAAATGTAATTAGATCTTTTAGATGCTCAGAGTGTCCCACAACATTCAGTACCAGCTGCTGTTAAGGTAGAAAAGAAGATAATCTGAATTTTGTAAGAAAATATATCGATAAAGAAGAGGTATTTTCTCATCTCTTCTCCCAATAATTCTGCACCTGTTTATTTCTGAAAATAAGGGCTTTTAAAACAGGTTCTGGGTTACAGAAGCAATGGCTCTTGAGCTTAATACATTGTTCTGCAATGTTCTGTAACAAGATGACAGACATTTAACACCAGTGAGGAAAAACCACGAACTTGAAAACCCTGGCATTTGGTGGCACCTGGCCAGAACATTTATTTTTCTAAACATAAATTATCTAAGCCGCTGAAGCCTTGCTTTTTTTTTTTTGGTCTTCTGTTATCAGAACAAACATATCTTCAATTTCTACTGTGACTGGATTTGGGAATCTCTCTAAAAAGAAACATGATATAAAGATATGTTTCATGTTTGTAAAAATTTTGTTCAGGGATGTTTAACTCTGAAACTTGGACCCACTACCTCAACATCTAAGTTTTGCCTGGGGGTTGCAAACCCTGGAATTTTGTCCTAGGAACCTGAAGGACTTGGAGTTTGAGCTGCAAGATTCAAATAAGGTTAATTGAATATCTTATAATCACCCAATGCTTTATCAGAATATCTTCTGCTAACAAAATAATAATCCTGGCATGAAATATAACCGTTTAGAGAGCGGGTATTTTTAGTCCTGGCTGAAATGGTGCTAATAAAGGCAGGGTTTTGAGGTGAGGGCACTTACCTTGACATGTTCTGCCTCCCACTACCTGGTATCCTTCAGGGCACACGCAGGAGAATTTTCCTGGCTCGTTGACACACTGGTACTGACAGATATAACTTGAGGTTCTGCATTCATCAGTGTCTGCAGAGAGCAAAGAGCTCAGTTATTGCCTCTTAACTTCTGCCTTGTTACACAGCTAAATGGAACAGCTAAATGCTTAAAAATAATAAAAAAAATCAGTCTACAAAGAATGTTGTCAAAAACCTCAGATGTGCTGCTCGATGCCTCCAAGACAGATGGAAAGGCCAGTTCTGCTGGGGTTTTATCAATAATCTTTGGGGTTGGAGGAAGCAGAAGCTAAATTAGGCTTCAGAATAGGTTTGGGAAAATAACTCCTGAAAGCCTTGTATACTTGTAGTATTCCAAAGTGGGATTACTTTGAGGGG